GGACAAGCGTCGGCCGTGATTCTGTTCGCCTTCGGCGAGATATGGTCATCGTCCTCATCACGGTGTTTGCAGGCTTGCGCGTAGCGCGTGACAAGGGAGCGCACGGTTCGTACACATTCCACGCGCAACACGTCGCCAAGATCCTTGCCTAGGAGGTCGGAAACGGAGCTGGCATAAGCCCATGGCGCTTCAACGGCGTTTTGGCTCACACCGAGGATGCGTAGCCCCGAAGGGTACATGTCATCGGGTGCTTCTTCGATCGCGAAGGCGCATCCACAGCTCTGGATGTGAGTACTCGCCGTACGCATATCTCCATCGCAGCCCCCGGTGCTGCCCATGTGGGTTCGTTCGTTGATGTGCATGTGCGGATCCATCTGTCTGTCTGTTGAGTCAAGCTGAGGGAGTGAGGCGTTCACGACGAAGATTCCCTGTTCAAATGTTTTTTTTTTCGGTTTCGTTGTGCAAATATTTTCGGTTCTTCGACAAGGTTCCGACCACACACTGCTGCTGGTGGCCGCAAATTTTTTTCGGTCAGTACATATCATGTGTGTGTGTAGATACGTACCTAAAATGACAGTTGAATAGAGAGATTGTCATAATGATGATGCATGTGTGCATGCTGTAGCCTTTCTGCACGTATACTTGTTTTTCCTAAATACTGCTGTAAAAAGCCCCCCTCGAACGACTATGATTTTCGCTCGAACAGGGAGCTTTTATGTGTTTAACGGGTAGTCTTTCTGTGTGCATAGACTATTTGTTTTTCCTAATAGTCTATAGTCTATGTATTTTTCTAAATTAAACCAGCAACTACTGTCAACATGACATATTGCGCCGTGTTCCCTGTGCAGGCCACATGTAAATGTACCTACGCAGATGTTTTTGTGCTAAGCACCAACTGGTATCACTGATATAAATCATCAGTGTATAGGCTTAAACAAACTCGAAATAAGTCAAGTACCCAGCTGGTTTTCCTCTACTCACTGTAAAGACTTCAACACATCCCCTTCGAGTGTAGTTATACCTCGAACGGGTAGTCTTTCTGTGTGTATATTTGTTTCTCCTAA